GAAGAAGCATTAGCAGTTTAAAGAAAAGATTGAAATGCTGAACTAGGATCTCTGAGAGCCTTTCTGAAGTAGGAGCCGGAGTCTCCCCTCCAGCTGCAGGATTGCCCCCCAACCTTCGTCAGGGTTCCCATTGCTCTGGACTGGGTCCCCTTCAGGAGGTGAGGGGCACAAACACGGCGTTGGCTTGTTCAGTCCTTCCCGGGAGCACCCAGCTCCACCCGGATTCACTCCACGTGGCTTCCCTTGTTTAGTCAGGCGGACCCGGGGCGAGTCCTGTTTCTTTCAGAACTCAAGGCTCTATGACCTTGGGGATGTTATTAAACCTCTCTGAGTGATCCTATGACCTCCTAGGGTGATGGAAGATGAAAGAGATGCTGTGTGGAAGACTCTTTGCATAGGGCCCAGCAACAGAGCTCAGAAATGTATTAAAACATTTTCTACACACAGTCCGATGCCCTGGGGCCACCACCTGCTCTGAACTGGGACAAGCCCGTGGCTGTCTCTGCGCCTGTTTCCTCCTTGAAAGGCACTTCCCGCCTTGAAGGCAAACTCCTTCTGTCCAGAGCTGCCCTGCATTCAGGGTCCCTGACAGGCTGTTCCCTCAACCAGGAGTCCCCTTTCCTGTGGCCACCTGTGGAAACCCTGCAGACTCCTGGTGCCATCTGGGCCCTGGGATGACATTCCCTTTATCCCCTGCTTGGGCAAACAATGCATTTCCTGCAGTGGCGCTCTGCTGCATTTATCAGGGAGATAGTAACACCCCGGACTGTAGCACGAACGCCGAGCCAGCAGTGTCACCCAGGGGCGTCTAGAGTATCTGCACCATTGTGGGGCATGTCACGCTCTGTGCTGCCCCTGGTGGTAGCTGTCGGGAATGCCCCCTCCCACCTGAAAATGGGTAGTGGCCTAGTAACGTTCTTAAAGGACTCTTGGGAAGGCTTCCTGGCCTCAAGTAGCCCCTGCCCCCAGATCTTTCCTTATTGCCTGGAATCCTCCCGTGGCGAGTCATCTTTGCTCTTGTCGCATCCTGTTCCCCATGCTAGAGCGCCTGGGGACAGGTCACCACCATTCTGCTGAGCTGAGCTCTCCCTTCTCTATCTGTAGTCATCAATTAAGAACTTAGGGAGCAGAGGTCAGGTTTGTAAAAGGAATGAAGGAAGGGCCTAGGTGGAGTGGCTAAGAAACCCCATGTCCCTGTTTTATGGTATTCACAGGCCCCAAGGAAACGCAAAACCACTGAGGGAAGCCATGACTTGTTCATTTGCTTCTTTAGTCAACCAGCATTTATTTACTAAGAATCTCCAGGGGCTGGCCAGGGCAGGTGATGGGAAAGGAAATTCACAAGAACCAGCCCCGGCCTGTGATGTTGGGAGGGGCTGTAGGAGTGACGAACAAAGTTTTTTTTTTTTTTAAGATTTTTATTGGGGAATTGGGGAATGGGAACAGTGCTGGGGAATTAGGGGAAGGGGAACAGACAAGTTGCTGTCCTTTTGTTCTTCAGTCCAGTTGTAGAGGACGTCGCTTCACTGGCCCAAGTTGGCACCATCATTGCGCTCTTCCTGGGCGAGGCAGATCAGTCGCCGGCTTCTGGACGGCCGCTCACTGCGGCTGCTGGCCCCTCACGCTGGCTGCTGGCTACACACGGTAGCCCACGGCAACCCACTGCCACAGGGGCTGCAGCCCATGCCGTCGCCGGCAACCCACGGCAGCCCAGCTCCAGGTCGAGCTGCTGTTCAGCATCTTAGCTGTAGAGGGCAGTGTCACCGGCCCTCATATGTGGGATCCGAACCGGGGCCCTCTGGCATCCCAAGCCAGTCCCCAACCATCGCACCACTTGGCTGGCCCAGGCCTCGGCTCTTTTAATGGCCTTTCTCATACACCCCTCCCGCACAGGTCCTGGGAAACCTGGCTGCCTGGGTCTCCTTGGCCCTTCCCAAGCTCCCAGTAACTGTCACTAATTCTCTGATGCTTGCTCCTGAACAAGATGATTTGGAAGGAAGACCTAAGTGCCTTCCAAATTCAAAGAAACATATTTATACTGGTGAGGGACAGTAGAGACGTGCTCCACTCACACTGAGGACGGGGCATTTAGACCACCGAAATCAACTTTTATACTGTGTTTCTTTAAAAATTTATAACAAATTCGCTATTTTTGTGAACTGAAATTTTCAGGAAATACTCACTAAAGACCCTAGTAGTGCTTGAGGGTGTGATACCTCTGGAAACATTCCCCCTTAATGTATAGATGCAAATCTGCATCACCAGTCCCCAATGTGTTAAATCCTCAAGTGCTAGGTAGCCATTTGTTCTGCTTATGAACGGGCCGTCTGGTTAGAAACAAGGTCCAGAGAAAGGAGCACCAGAGTCCTGGCCCGGGGGCCACCTTCCTCCTCCAGGCCGTAGTTTCTTGATCGTAGGTTGTAGGCCCCCCACCCCTGGAGTCCACAGCTTATCACTTCCATCTCAGGCAGCGGGACCAGGGGCTCTTTGACAAGCTGCATCCTGTCCAGAGGGGCAGACCTCTCTGGGGAAGGTGCAGCTGGGGACAGCTGAGGAGTCCTGATTGGCCCAAGGCACTGCATCAAGTGAACAGCGGCCGGTCCTTCCCAAAGGCAGTGCGAGCCCAGCCTGGGTGGCTACCGCCTCTTCGCTGCCCCCACCCTGTCCTCCCAATGGGCCAAGAGGTTTTCTGAGTATCCCGGTGACGCCTGAGGAAATTACCAGGTCGCTGGCTGCCTCCGGGGCTCCAGGTTCACACAGAATCCAGGCTGCCCTGCCAGCTCCTTCTCTCGGCCTGGCACCCTGCATGTGACATGCCACAATGCTGATACCCTTTTATCAGGGTAGCCACCTCACTATGGGTGAACTCGTCTCCTCCAAAGGAGCTGACTCCCTCCACTATCTCTGCCTCTCTGGCCAGCCCCTGGACCTTGGGGGAGCAGTCTGACACTTGACAAGATGGGGTGGGGGAAAATCTTGGTCTGGGAAGCACCCTTCCCTTGCAGGGGGTGAAGGAGGTGCCAGGAGTGCTGGGCGAGGAGCCAGGACCCCACATGCCTGCCCCAATCCAGGTGCTGTCACCAAGTGGCTTCAGGCCAGTCCTTTCCTCTCTGGTGTCAGCCTCCTCACCTGTGAATGGAAACTTCAGGTCTTGTGATCACCCAGAGCCTTGCTTGTTAGGGTGTTGCGCCTTTGGCAGGGCATGGGGACCAGAAATCCACCGTTGTGTTGGGCAAGAACCTCAGCGAAGTATGGGGACAGGAAGGGCAGTTAGGCAGAGTGCAGGTCCGGGCAATATTCAGGGCGAGGTGGGGTGGTGGGAGGAGGAAGTCACAGAGAAGATCCAAGTGGCCGTTGACCTACCAAGATTGACCTGGTGCCCTCATAGCCGCAGCGTCCACCTTGCCACTGTCCCCAAGATCCTGGGTGTCACTTGTGATGGACCCTGGACTTATATTGTGGCAAGGGCGGGGAACCTGGACAGTACCATGCTGGGAGTCAGGGTGCCAGGCCCAGTCCAGGTAGGAGGCAGAACACAGGTACAGGTAAGAGTGTTATTCCCCAAGCTCTTCCAGCCTCAAAGTCCTCTAAACCAGCGGTTCTCAACCTGTGGGTCGCGACCCCTTTGGGGGTCAAACAACCTTTTCACAGGGGTCGCCTAAGACCATCGGAAAACAAAAAGATATTTTCATTACGATTCATAACAGTAGCAAAATTACAGTTATAGAGTAGCGACGAAAGTAATTTTATGGTTGGGGGTCACCACAACATGAGGAACTGTATTAAAGGGTTGCAGCATCAGGAAGGTTGAGAACCGCTGCTCTAATGGGTTCATGGAAGGGCAAGGATAGATGACAACATCCTTGGAGCCCTTAGCCCAGTCCGTTCACTGTACAAATGGGGAAACCGCTGGGCCGGGAGGGCTAAGGACTCACCCAAGGCCACCCAGTGTGCCAGGGTGGGTCTCTGCCTCCTGGCTCAGAGCTGCTTCTGCTCCTCAGTCCTACTGAGTCCCTGCTCACACTGGGGAACCATGCACACCCTACTCGGGTCAGCTGGCTGTCCCTGCTGACTCCACTGAGGTCACAGGTCAAGCAAGAGGGGGGTGAGGGTCTACTTTGGAGCTTGGGGAGATACAAGGCTAGGTAGGGAGCCCCTGAGGTATGGGCTACCCTCACCCTTTTGGCCCTTCCTTGGCACACCTGGCTTGACCTGCCCACTGAGGCAGCCCAGATGTAGGTTTTCAGGGAGCAGCGTGGAGGCCAGGGTGGGGCAAACTGTACAAGTGCCCCTGACATGTTCCTTTGGACCCTTCCCAGGCTCGGGGGTCGGACAGACCTAGGACCCAGTCTCGGTGACATTGCCTATGAACTGGTCAGTAATGCTGGGCTGGGATGAAAACAGTGTGGGGACCAAATGAGCCGCTGCAGGGGCCACAGATGGAAGCGTCAGTCTCCAAGCCTTTCCTCAGAGCTTGAGATTCTCTTTGTCCCCAGCGCCCAGTGCACTGACCATGAAGCAGGCAGAGCACAGACCGGCAGAAGCCAGTTGACATGAGGCTGTGGGCGCACAACTGGTCCCAGGATGAAGACGGGAAGATGGGAATGCAAGTGTCAGGGAAGTGGCCTGTGCCAGGCGCTCCTTGCTGCCCTCCAGGGACTTTCTGAAAGGCCTCCTGCGACTCCAGTGGCGATCTCGAGTTGGGTTGGCATGAGCTGCTGAGTCCCCAGGAAGAAGATGGGCCCATTTATTTGGGTCATTTGCCCAAAGTTCCTGGCCTGGAGCGCACTTCATGGAAGGGAAGAGGAAGATTATGAGCAGGGGCAGCAGGGGGATGGGGTAGGGTGACCACAGGGCAGAGAGGGGTCATCGAAGGGCTGCCTGTGCCAGCGTGCCTGCTCCTGTGCCCAGGCCCCGGCCCCTGCTGCTGTCCTCCCTCCAGCCCACACCCCACGAGCGTAAGCACGCAGGAGCACAAGGCAGTATGCTGATCAAGGAAGTCAGAATAAAATCACTTCTTTTATTTCCAAGAAATGTAGGTCTGGGGAAGCAACATGATAAAAATTAAGATCAGTTCCCTGTGGATCTATCCGCCATGGGAGGGACAGCAGCAGAGCCTCAAAGGTGTGTCACACTCGGTGCTGGTCCCTCCTGGCTGGCCAGAGCTGGGGGACGAGAAGCCCTCTCCCAAAGGCTCCCACTCGGAGCCTGTTCCTGCCCCACCCTCCCTGGAAGCTAAATATTGGTTAGTGGGTTAGGCTTCCAAACGCAGTAGCTCTAGATCCTTCCCAGGGCAGCGGACTCCCCTCCTGTCCTTCTCACTTTCCTGTGCCCTCAGCTCCTGGCCTCCAGCCCCAATTCCTAGTCACACTTCCCACTTGGAACTCGTTAGGTCCCCGCCCATCCACCAGCTCCTCAGAGTCACCGCCTCTGGGGTTCCCTCCCTCTCTGTCCCCACTGCCCTCCAGTGACAGTCAGGGCCACATTAGCCTCAGTGAGCGAGCCTGGCTCAGCCGGCCGTGGGGCCTGGGGGAGGCCAGGAGAGGCAGGTGGTCAAAGAGAGATTGTCAAAGGCCCAGCCCCATCATCAGAAGGTATCCTGTAGCAAAAGTTTATAAAACCAGTGAACGACACAAGCGCGGAAGACAGCGAGAGGGCCTGTCCACACTGGCAGCCCCAACATGGCTGCCTGGCAGGTAACAGGGCATTTTGGAGAAGGGTCTGATTGCTCTAGAATCTTAGGCTTCCCAACTAGGACAAACATCTGAAAGGGGGTAGGAAGTGGGGCTGAGCCTCCAGGCCGGCTGGCCCCCCAACCTGACCCTTGCCTCTGTGGCACCCACCTGTGGGACTGTCCCCTTGGACCTAAGTTAACAGGCTCCAGAGGTGGGATAGGGTGGAAGGTGGTGGGATGGAACTGCACAAGCCCTGGGTCAGAGGCCTCCAGTGGGGCGAGGAGGACCTTCCCCTGGGCCCTGAGGTCTGAGCCAGCTGCATTACAAGCAGAGAGAGCCTGGAATCAGGGCCGGGGCCTGGACAGTTTTAGAAAAAATGGCACCTGCAGGGAGGCCCTAAGTACCGATCCCAGCGGAGGGAAGGGAACCAGGTACAAAAAGCACCTCCCTACAAGAGGACAGACCATGGGCACCATCAGGGAGGGTAGAGCCAGGGCCAGGGAGTCATTTGCCCAGCTAGGACCCAGTCCCACGAAACCCAAGAGCATCTGAGGGGAAATAACAGGGAGGAGTGTGAGGCCTGGGGGCCAGGCTGCAAGGGGGGTCTAGGCATGTCTGTGGACCTTCGGTCTAGCAGGTGTTTTGGGCAGGGATGGAGCCATCTCTCCGTGCTCCTGGGGGAAGGAACTGACAGAGGGCAGGCCTCAGGAGGGACGGTGTTGGAGGGCGAAGTGAAGGGAAAACGGAGGAAAACAGGAGAAAGATCAAAGATGGGGCCTGTGAGCCAGCACATAGCCCAGCCTCATGGACACCCCTTAGAACGAAAACCCATCCCTCCCTTTGGCCATCACCCCCACCGGCTCCCCCTTCCCCGTGGGCGCCCGAGGGCTGCAGCTTCATTTGTGGAGGTAGGCGTCCAGCCATAGCTCCCCAGACTTCTTCAAGGACCTGGGAGGAAAGGGATGGGACAGTCGGGGACCAGGTGGGGAGGGGCCAGGGAGCCCTAGCGAGTGGGCGGGCTGGGGAGGCCATGCGGGGGGCACAGGTGCTTCCTCTTAGCCCTCACCCAGGGGTTGCCAGCTCAGGGCTCCCCAAGAGACCCCCCCTGGAGAAGGACACAGGGAAGGTCCTCATCCTGCTCAAAGCGAGAAACCGGGCAATTCCAAGTAATGGAGGTGCCAGCAGGGCTCGGCCTTTCTTGCCATTGCCACCGTCTCCACCATGGATAGTGTCAGCTTTGTGCCTCTGCGTCTCCTCCCTGTGCCCCAGGGGCCTCAAGGGGCCCCAGCAGCTGTGGGCTATCCCCTTACCTGACGATGTCCTGCAAGGCCCTCAGCAACGGCTTCTCCTGGTACTGGATGCCATGCTTGGCACACAGAGACTTTACCAGTGGGGCGACCTTGTGGTAGTTGTGCCGGGGCATGGTAGGGAAGAGGCTGGGGAGAGCATGGGAGCCAGTGTGAGGAAGCCTCCGCCTCCTCTCATAGCCCACACAGAGACTGGCTGGGGCCCAGGGAGACCCTGTCCACAGCTCTCCCTGTGTGCCTACTGGCACGTGGGGGAGGGGCAGGTTTTGGTGGAGGATTGTTTGTGGATGGGTGTGCTTGTGCTCTGGGGACTGGAAAGAAATTGGATGGCTAGAGACAGAAAGTCTTGTTTTTCTAAAACAAGAAAGAGCAGGGTGAGGAGATAGGAGGGGATGAGAGAAAAAAGAACAGCAACCAGGGGTGAGGTGAGGATAAAGGGCAGCAGGGGTAGTAGAGGTCTGGGGGCACAGCCCCTCAGCTATCAGTTCCAGGAAAGCTATCTAACTTAGCTGGGTCTCAGTTTCCCTGTCAATAAAATGGGATCAATCACCCTGCCCTGCCAGGCTCACAGGATCAAGGAGATGCTGGTGCAAGCTCTCTGTAACTACAAGTGATGGGATGACTGTCACAGTGAGTGTGTGGCACAGGGAGCCCCACCCTGGCCTCAGCGGGGCTGGCTGCGGAACATGCTCTAGGGCTGCGGGGTGGGAGAATCTCACCAGGGGGAAGAGAGAGGGAGCCCCCAAACGCTGCCCTCTGCTCAGATGGGGCAGGTGGCCGCTCCCTCCCACTGTATGTGACCTGCCTGCCCCCGGACCCATCTGCACCCGCACTCACTGGTGCTCAATCTGGAAGTTGAGGTGACCGCTGAACCAGTCATTAAAGAAGGATTGTTCCACATTGCAGGTGGCTGCCAGCTGTGCAGGGAAGAGGGAATGAGTGGCCATGAGTAAAAGAACAAAGGGCCTCGTCTCCTTCCCATAAGGCCCAGCCTTAAACAAAGCCTCAGGGCCACCCCTCCCCTCCGTGTCACACCATTCTGCCAGGAGTCCTCAGCCCACCCAGATACCCCACAGGTCCCTCCCAAAGAGCCCTGCTACCCTTTCTTGCTTAGCCCTGTGCCTACCAGCAGCAGAACGACACAGGCAGCCCCAGGGAAGCCCAGCACAGTGCTGGTCCACGGGGCAGCCAAGTTTCTGGGGGCTGAGGACATGGACACAGGTCCCTGGTCACCAGCTTGGAATGCCCTCACCTGGCTACTGAACCAGTCGCGGTAGGGCTCTCGGTCAATCTCCATGACGATGTGATTCATCTGCGTGACCCACACAAACCAGTGGCTCTCCAGGAACCTGGGAGAGAGGGCAGCTCAGCGCTGGAGCCCCAGCCAGCTTGGTCTCCACAGGGCCCGGCCACGGTGGGAACAGCGCCTCCCTCCCAACTCCATGTGGCCCAGGGCAGGTGCAGGGTGTACAGAGATGCCAGGACGTGAGGCCCAGGGCAGGAAGTGGGGACCTCTGAGCCTTTCCTCATGGTGCCCTCGCATCCAAGTCCCCATCAACACCAGTGCTCGGGTGCCCAGGGATTAACCAGCAAAGCTCAGGCACCTGATAACGTTGAGGAGAAGGACGGCTCCGAGTACACCATAGAAAGGGATGTAGGTGATGAAGAAACGGGCATAGTAGCTGATGGCCCAGGCCAAGTCCTGCCGAGAGAAACACAATTAGAGGTAGGGCAGCCCCGCCCTACCTGGCACTGTGTCCTGACCACAGGTGTGCACACAGCACCTCACATGCCTTGCTAGGCAAAGGTGTCCCCAACTGGCCTCTCAGGAGTTGGGCAGCTTGCACAGGGTTTGTGTTTCTAAGAAAATGCTGAGTGTTTTGGCAGCAGGAAGGGAGCTATGTGCTCTGCCCTCAAGGAAAGAAATAGGGATGGGGACCAAGGGACATCAGCTGAAGGACAGCCATGGGAAGGGGCCAGAGGTCAGCAGCCCTTTCTTGGTCCCAGGGATTCTAACCGTGCACCCCCAGCCCAACACCCTGCAGGCTCACGAATAGCTCTGCGGCCCTGTCTGTACTCATCTGCACCTGGGAACTTCTTTCTCGACACTCACTCTAGCATGACAGTATGGGAGGACCAAGGCCAGGGACACTGTCCATGCCCACCTCAGGGCCTTCCCAGTGGCCTCTGACACAGCTGGGCCTCTTTCCACACCTGATTCTCCTGCCCCCTCTTTGATCCACTCTCCCTTCCTGCCCCTCACTGGGGCGGTAACAGGGTCCTGAGTTAGCAGGTCTCACTTCCTGGGCAAACGCCTCCCTGCTGCTGCGCCACCCTCCATAAGTAACCTTGCCGGCAGTCTCTCTACCTCCTCTCTGCCACCCAAGTCCAGTGCCTCAGCTGGACCACAGCAGGCGACTCTCAGTGGTTTCCTGCTGTCCCTCGTGCACCCATGGCAAAAGAGGGACCTTCTTAACACCAATCAGACCACATCTCTCCCCTGCGAAGCCTCCCACCTTACCCAGAGTAGCCCACAGAGCTCTGAGGGGTTGGGGACACCTGTCCTCAGCCACCTCAGGGCCTTTGTACTGACTGTTTCCTCTGCCAGGAATGCTCATGCAGTAGCTGGACTTCCCCCTTCACTTCTCCTCCCTAGAGCCTTGGCAGGGTAGTGCTCAGAGCACACGCTCCAGGTCAGGCTGCCGGCACTAATTCCAGCCCTACCAGTGGCTCTGTGTAGCTGCAGGTGATTTACTTAGCTGTGCCTCAGTTGCCCCACCTGCAGGACAAGGAAGAGAACCTCCCACAAGGTTCCACATGGCTGGAATGTATGTTGCAACAACAAGAAAGCCCACAGTATCAGCTCTAATGTCTCCAGTCAGGCCCCTGCACCACAGAGATCTTCTAAGCATGCAAACTGGACCATGCCACCGCCATCCTCAAAGCCATCACTGACCTCCTCCCACGCCGGGGAACAAAGGATAAAATCCAGTCCCTGGGCAGGATGCATGGGCCCTTCACATGCCTGCCCACTGACCTGCCCTCATCTGCAGCCAGTCTCCCGACCTACGTGCGCCCGGCCAGGTTGTGCTCTGACTCGTTGCGGGCTGTGTCCGGGCTGTATCTGCCTGGAGGCTGCCTCTCTCCCCTTATCTGCTCAGCAAACTCATCCTTCAACCCAGCTCTGTTCAGTTAAGCGCCACAAACATTCAGTGAATGCCTTCTCTGTGTTAGGGGCTGAGTCAGGTGATGGGAGCAAAAGGAAGCCGTTCAGAAGCCTGGTATCTGGAAGGACAGGCTTATAAGGAGGGTCCTTCAATATCACATGGTACAGGACAGACGGTTAAGGGGACAATGGGAACATGGGGTCCCAAGTCCACGTGCCTCAGCTGGACCACAGCAGGAGCCTCCCATTGGTCTCCTGCTCTCCCTTGTGCAGCCATCGCAACCCTGGGATTTAAGGAAGGCCTCCATTATGAGGTGGTGCCTGAGCTGGGCTGGCACACGCCAGAGGTCAGCCAAGTAGGAAGGACATCCACGAAGAGGCAAGGATACAAAGAAAAGCCCAGGCAGGCGAGACTGCAGAGGGTGTGTGCTGAGTTACTGTTTACCACTGATTATATGTTTCATATTCTCCAGTACAAGTGCTCGAGGTGGGGGTGAGGGACCACGGGCAGTGGAGAACTACTGAGAGCTTGAAACCACAGAACACGGTCTCATCTGAATTTTCAAATATAATAGATCCCTGCCAACTGGAGATGCAGAGACTGGGTTCTTTTCAGTAGCTCGGGCGTGAAATGATCGAAGCCCCAGCCAGGACCCACAGCACTCATGAGGAGGTGACAGATTCCAGAACTATCTGGGAGGCAGAGGCATCCGTGACAATGCATTTGGGGACTTCTTGTTCATGAGGAATCTAAGCTGGTCCCCGGTGTCAGTGCCATCCGGTGAATAGGGAAACGGGCCGGGGGCAGCTGGGAAGGGGCTGGAGAAGGAAGAGTCTGAAGGGCCAGCTGTGGGCTCAGGGCAAGACCTCAGGACCAACGTGATTGTCTTCAAGGCGGTGAGGGAGCAAACGTCACGAGTTCCGCTCCTACTTTTCATCACATTCATTTTAACTTCTTTTTCGTGTGCATGCAGCACAGTAGTGAGTCCATATATATTAATGAGGGTGTGTGCGTACTGATTTATTTTTGTGCAGAGTGATCCATGACCAAGGGGCCACTGGTATCGGGGGGCTGTGATGAAGATGCAGGGAAGCAGAGAGGTGGAGGGGAACCAGCAGAGGGGACTTGGAGGCCAACAGGGAGAATTTCAGGAGGGAGCGGGTAGTGGTGTCAGATACAGTGAACCCCCTGCGAGGTGAGGCCTGGGATGTGGCCACTGGCAATGCTACCAGAGCGGTAAAAGCCTCCCTCCTCTATGCTCTGAGAGTGTATTAACCCTTCTTCGCCAGGCCAGGGTTTCGTAGGCTCCACACGGGTAATATTTAGGGCTGGATAATTCTTAGTTGTGGTGGGCTGGTCCTGTGCATGATAGGATGTTTAGCTATGTCCCTGGCTAGGTGCCCCCTAGATGCCAGTAGCACTCTGCTCCCTCTCCCAGAGTTGTGACAATCAAAAATGTCTCCAGATATTGCCAAAAGTCCCACCAGAATGGTTCCCATTGAGGACCACTACCCCAGGTCACACCTCAGCTGGCTGTAAATCGGAAGACCACAGCACAGGGCATGCCTCAACCCACACCACATGGTCATGAGCCCCTGAGGGGGTGCCAAGTCTAGGAGCAGTCGGGAGGTCCGGCCTTCCCACCCAACCTAAACTCTATTTCCACGTGGGCTCCCCACACTGCCAGGAGAGTCCTAAAAGGCCTGAGTGGACCGATCAAATTTCCCTGGCTCTGCCATCTGTTCCCGTTCAGGTACTAGTCTGATTTCCTTTCCTGCTGTCCCTATTTCATTGCTTTGTTCCTTAGGGAACAAACACAGTAGAAAAAGATTAAATATTCATGTCAGGAGTCATCTGCCAGAAACGCAGATCAAAATACCCCCAGCAGCATCACCTGACCCAGCACAGAAGGTCTCACATTCCTTTTCAGCCGTGACTCCCTCCAGGGCCCAGGTGAGCCCCGTGCAAAGGTTCAAACAGCAGTCACCGTAGGAGCAGGAGATGTGAGTTCAAATTCTTACCACTTAGCCTGATGCAGAAACTCTGTCCCTCCAGCCCATTCCTGCCTTGTTGGTGAACCAGGGTTAAATAACATAACGTAGGTGGCAGTGCTCAACTGTTCCTGGATGACAGTTGAAGTACTGATGAAATGCTCACTTTGGGGCACAAGCATGTCCTAGAAGTGAGTCGTACAGGTTGTAGCAGCTCAGGGCGGGCAAACACTGCCAGAGTCACGCCTCCTCCCCAACCTCTGAGTCCAGTCCTGGCCTCTCGGCCGAATCAACAGGCACGATGGCCCCTTTACCAGTATTTTCAAAGACAGGGTGTAAGACAAGTGCTTCGCGGCCCTTAAAATGCTATACAAATACAAGATATTGTTATTTGAGAGAGACTAGTGGCTGAAGTGTGAAAGGGAGGGTCCAGGATGTGGCAGCAGGAGGCCTGGGTTCCAGAGCCCGACCCACTCCTTGGTGTCACCTTGGGCAAGTCCCAAACTCTCAGTCTCAATATCTTCATTTATGAAACTGCGTTTAAATTAAAAAAAAAATTAAAAAAAAGACCAGCGATAACTACTAAGTTCACTGTCACGGTGAACCCCGGTTTGCCCAAAGTGGGCTCTGCCTACGGTACATGCTCCACCCAGGTCATTCCCCTGTGGGTATATTATCCTCTTCAGCAAAATCACATCTGCACATCTACAGAAAGCCAAGGATGGCCTCGCACACCGGGCACACTATTAGCCCCTCTCCAGGGTCCCTTTCTCTCTCTGGGGGAAGAATCCGGAGATTCCCCCAAGCCTGGTGTTACGCGCTGGGCTGTGTCCCCTAAAACGCATATGTTGCAGTCCTAACCCCCAGGACCTCACAACGTGATCTAATTTGGAGACAGGGTCTCAGCAGCTGTAATTGGTTAAGATGAGGTCATTAGGGTGGGCCCCAACACACTATGACCAGCGTCCTTATAAAAAGTGAAAATTGGGACACAGACAGACATGCACTAGGGGAAGACGATGTGAAGAGACGCGCAGAAAAGATGGTGGCCATCCACAAGCCAAGGAGAGAGGCCTGGACCAGACCCTTCCTCATAGCCTCAGGAGGACCAACCCCGGCCATACCTCCACTTGGACTTCCAGCCCCCAGACTGTGAGACAATACAATTCCATTGTTCACAGAACTGACATGCAGTCTATGGTACTTTATTATGCGGCCGTAGCAAACTAATACACCTGTGGTCTCAGCTATCGCCAGGCTGCTCTCCATTTACCAACCAGAGTGCTGTGCGGCCTAGTTCATGAGTCTTAGGGGCTGCAAGAGGACACGGGAGGCTGATGGCTAGAACAGAGCTGTGGGTGAGTGGGTCGAGTTTGGCTCTTCCCATGTTGTCTTCAGGAACTTTCTGAGCGGGTTCTACAAAGTCAGTGGCTCCCCAGTGGACCCCCTGTGTGTGTGTGTGTGTGTGTGTGTGTGTGTGTGTATTCAGGGATCGTTAGGAGTGGGGTGCAATGGCCTCTTGGGTTCTGGCAGCCTCAGAGCAGGTCTTTTCCTGAGAGTGACAAGGCACCCCCAGAGGAGATGCCTAGGGTCCCACAGAGGCACGTGGGGGCACAATGCAGGCCCCCTGGGCCCAATGGCCTGGACACCCTCCTTCCCACACCCCCAGGCCAGGGGCGCCCCTTGACTCACCACCCAGTCTTTGCGAACGATCATGGTCATGATGATCTGGTACTGGAAGTACATGGGGATGAGCAGCGGCGGCCCGACTGCAAGGGAGAGAGCAGAGGTGCTTAGTAGGCCTCCTGTCCCACCCCGTCCGGGCTGGAAGGTGGGGAGGAGCTGCAGCTAGGACACTGAGTGTGGCGCCCAGCTCTGCAGCTCACGGGCAGAGGCAGCCGGGAGCCCTGGTGCCGCCCGAGGGCGCTGGGAGCAGACAGCACCCCCAGTCCACCCCGCACCCCCAGTCCCCCCCTCACCCAGGGATCACGGAGCGTGTGTTTGACTCTCCGGGCATCTGTGACCCGTCAGTAGGATGAACCAGGAGGGTTCTGAATGGGGCGGTTTCTTTGGCCCCTCTTTTTCTAGTAGGTTTAGGGTCACTTTCTGAGTCTGAAAAGGGTGTCTGCTGGGAGGAAGAGAAATGGCTGCTCTGGTGTGCAGGGGTCTGGGGTGAGGCTGTGGGGCACCCTAAGACTCACTCAGGAAGAAGTACTCGTGCTGGTGGTTGTAGGGCAGGTATTTCAGTTTCTTCTTGCCGTACTGAGGAGAGAGCAGAGACTGCGAGCACCCGGCACCCCTCGGGGCACAGGCTGCTGTGCCCTCCCCCGCCCACTCCACAGCCACCATCCCTCCCTCATGCTCAAGGGGCTCTGGCTGAGTGTGCCAGCCCCATGCTGTGTGCAGGCCTCAGCTCGTGCAGTCCCCCTCGAGCCCAGGAGCTGGCGTTTGTGAAGCTGAGGTTCAGGGTCAAGTCACTGCCCAAGGCCACACGAGAAGTAGGCCCAGCTGGGATCCGGACCTAAGAAAGCTGACTCAGATCCCATGTGACAGGCACCAAATAAATATTTGTTGAGTGAATGCACAAGTAAACAACTCACAAGGAGGCACAGGCACCCAGAGGGAGCATCTAAGCCAGTCTCCACCCCTTTGGGAGTGCGAAAAGCTGCTGGGTCACCCTGGGGAGCTCCCCGGGGTCCGCAGTGACCAAAATAACCCAAGTAAGGGTCTGGGAATTTGTCAAGAGTCATCAGGCTGGGAGAATCTATCTCTGTGGAGCCTCCTGCACTTTCTAAAAGCTAATCACTCTTCCCAGGGCACCAGCCCCCTCCCCATCTAAGCCAGCACCCCCTGGGCAGCCTGATGCCCTGATACTCCGAGAAGGGCCAGTTCTGGGACCCAGGCCTCTTCAGTGTACAAAGTTGCTCAGGCTACACTGAGCGTGAGCCAGTGGGGAAACCACAGCCCCATAGGGCCCCTGCAGCCCTTTAATTCTAAAGCCCAGCCCCCTGAGGACCAGCCCACCCTGCTCCTTGGAGACTGAGGCTCAAAGATTCTGCTTGCAGAGTGGCCATGCTAGGGGGCTGTGCGGAGAGCCCTGGCTAGGGCCGAGACCCTGCGCAGGTCACTCTGCCTGTCTGAGCCCCATTTGGCATCCACATAACTGGTTGTTAAGAAGAGCCAACGAGAAAGAACATGGGCATAAATACCAGGTGCTGACCCTGGGACACTGCCCCTCGGCCGCACCACTCCCCGCCCCCACCCCAAAGGCCAGAGCCACCCTCCTCCAACGGCGTCCATTCCCACTTATTGGTAGGAAGTCAAAGCGAGGTACATGGAGAGGGCCTGGATGCTGTCCAGGCTGATGTCCCCATTCTCCAGGTGAGAACAGAGAGAGGAGTGGTTATCAAACTCACAGGGAAGGTTTGTAGTCTCCTAAAAGGAGGGGGAACAAAGCCCAGCCTGTCCCCAGGACTCACATCCTGGCGCCAGTAGCCACGGTCACTACACACCCGGCAGAAGCACCACCAGAGTCAATCAATCCCTTAGTTCCATGTGGCCTCTTGCACCTCGGCAGGGGTCTCACTCGTCCCCAGAAAGTGTGTCCATTTGCTTGAAGACTGTTATTAAGGCCAGGACTGAGGCTGGCCTTGGAGAGGTCCCAGCCAGCGAGGCCTCAGAGGCAGCCTGGCACGATCTCTCAGCAGAGGTTGGGGGGCAGGGGGGGCAGGAGGAGGGATGGGGCCGCACTGGGGGTGTACCCCCTGAGTGGCCAGTCAGGGGGGAGTGAAGCTGCCTGGGGTTCCGGGGAGCATGTGGCCCACAGAACAAGCCCATGGTTCCTGTTCTTACTTCCTCCAGAAGCCAGGAAGGAGGCCCACAGGCCCGGCCTATGTGCGCAGGCTTCTCCGGGCCTGGACGGAGCCCTTCCCACCGCATCTCTGCCCTATAGGTCACCCCAGGGGACGGCCCCGGGCTCAGAAGACCCTCTCCGGGCTCGTCAGTCTCTATACACTAAGGCTTCATGAGCCCAGGCAGGTTGACAGAGACCAAAGGGCCCCTATAGAAGTACTTGGGGTGGCCAAACTGCTGGCAGGGGGCACTGGGGGATTGTTTTAAAGCTGCATTTGCACAGAAGCTCACTGTTTTCATTGATTTGTGGTGACTTTGAGGGGGGTGGGTAATAGAGATTACAGGAGCTGACACTCCCCCAGCTGCCCCAGGCCTGTGACCACTGCTGGCTCCCATGTGGGTCCCTTCAATGCTCCAGACTGACCTGTGGAGGGCTGATGGGTCCCTGCCCTGGACAGTGGCAGGCCTCTCACCAGCCCCTGAGGTTCCCAGGCTTAGGAAGGCCAAAGCTTGAGATTTGGAAACAACTGGTGATTTGAACAAATTGCTTCAACCCCTCAACCCCACCCCCCACCCCCACCATGAGCTTTGGGTTCCTCACTTGTCAAATGGAGGTATGACGGGTGCTTCATAGGGCTGTTGAAAGACCAGAGGATGAAGTGGACATGAAGTACTTTGGGAGCATGAAGGGAAGGTTAGTCACGGGGACACGTGCACGTGTGTGTGGTGACACACTGAAATGACACTGTCCATCTGTCCCCATCTTGAGTTAAGGCAAATGCAAGGCCATCTGTCAGGGTATGGCTGACCCACAACGTTAGTTTTCCTTTGAAAACCAGAAAGTACAACTGGTTTTCTGAGGCCACGCCCGGCGTGGGGCTGACTTTCTGGCTCTCAGCTGCACACGCTCAGTTCTTTGCTAACACCCAACCGTATAAATCATGGGCGCAGGGCAGGGAGGAAGAGGTATTTTAGAATGTTACCAAGCTAAGAGGCGGCTTCTCACTTCATCAGATCTCTGGAGAGCTCCAACAAACACATTTCCCTAGTGTCCACCAGGTGGTGGCCGTGGGCAGGGTCCCACAGGCCCCACAAACCCTGGCTTAGAGCCAGACAGCCTGGGTTTGGATGGTGGCGCTGCCTTTTCTTGCTGTAACCTTGAGCAAGTTATTGCATCTCTCTCAGCCTTAGTTGTTCCATGTATAAAATGGGTTTGTTTGTGGTGCTTGCCTTACAGTTAAGCAAGGACTGCATGCAGTGCTCAGCACTGCCAGGCCAGTGGAGTCACTAGGCACGTGTCTGTCTTCCTCCCCACTGGGGCCCCTCCCCCTTCTCCTCCAGGAGTGTCCTCACCACACACAGGTAGAAAGCTTGGGTGGTGGGGCTGTCAGAGGGGAGGTGCGGGGAAGACAGAGGGTGCTTTCACTCAGGCGAGGTACTGGTGGCTGGTTGTATCCAGACCCCAAGGAGATGGTGGCACACAGGGCTTGCTTTGACGAGTTCCCAAGCTGAGGCTAACAGAAGATGCAGGCCAGGGGCAGCTCTGCCAGCCCGGGTGGCCTGGCTTCCTGGAGGTCGACAACCCTTTGCCCCGGCCAGGCTGGCCCACCTATGCTCAGCCTCTCCATGGACCACAAGTCCTGTACTTGGAGTACAGGCTTGGATACCAAGGGCATGTGCAGGGGGTTTTTCAGCTTTGGAACAAAATGTCTGAGGAAGGACAAGGGCCTTCCTTGTCTGTTCAGGGGTGGGGGAGGGGAGCTGTCGCAAAGCCCAGACCCAGCCTCTGGGAACCTACAAACTCACTCACAGAGTGAGCAACACGGCCACATCAGACATGCGCAGCCTGGCAAGAACCCAGTCCACGGGTCCTGAAAGGAGGGCTATGGTCATTTCAAGGGAGGACTGGTCGCTTTGGCCTGTTCATGAAAGACTGCCTGAAGCAGGAAAGTTTGAGGGTCAGTGGTAGATAGGCTGAGGAGTGGGGAGGGCGTCCCTGATGGGCGGAAAAGCAGCATCTCAGGCAGGGAGGCAGAAACACTTACGGCTCTGAGAGCCCATTTATAGTGCTCCAGGGATAATGGCCTCACCATTACCCTCTATGATGTGGCAAAAAAAAACAAACAAAAAAAGGATGAGCAAAGTCAGACTGCTGATAGCACTGCTATTTAATACTGTTCTGGAAGCACCCATAATGCCATAAAACCCAAACCAGAACTAAGCTTTTAGAAAGAGACTAAATTTTCACTGTTTTCAAGGATATGATTGTCTCCCCAGGAAACGCAAGAGAATCAACTGAAAAGAAACTAGAAACACAGAGAGGCATAAGTGGACATTAGATAACTAGTCAAATATCAACAGCGTTCCTGACCACTGGAGAAACCACAATCACAATGACAAAAATAGAAAATATCTAGGATTAAATTGAAAAAGAAACATCTAAGAGACATAAAAAGAAAAGTATAAAACCCTTCCAAGAAATATGAAAGGAGACTTGAGTAAATAAAGACGCCTTATTCCTGGACAGAATGGCTGAATATAAAGATGTAAATTCTTTCTAGAAGGGGAAAGTCAGCCCACTACAAGCTTACAGTGAGTTATTAAGTGCCAAGGGTGAACCGCTATGACACCCAAGTCACCCAGACAGCGTCCCAGACCGGGCACTGAGGCAGACAGCTCAGACGGGGCGTTGGGCTTCAGGAGGAGATATGTGAAGGTAGATCACCTTCTTAGCCAAATCCCCTTTGGCAAAAGTTAAACATTCAAAAGTGAAATTATAAAACACTGAAGATAATATGTATGAAGAACTAAGTATAAAAGAAATGAAAGGACTCTCCAGGGTGGGGAAAGATGAATACATCTTGCTACATAAAACAAATAAAGAAGGCTCCTGGAAGTCAGAAACTAACTAGGAGAGGGGCTTCACTGCCGAGACCCCTGCTTTATCTCTGCATGCTGGGCAGCCCTTTGGAGCCACCTGGCTGGGCTGGTTTGTTTATCTGTGCTCAGAGATACGAGCCCTGGCCTCGTAGAGGCCAGAGGCTGGCTCAAGACCCGAGGTCTGGCTGCCCAGGGCCAGGTGGGTGGCCCTGGTATGGTATGTGGGCCTGACATGGTGGACGAGTGCCATCAGACCCATTGTCACCAGAGTCCCTTCCAGGGCAGAATGGCTCTGTGGACGCCAGGGAACAGCTCAACCAGGGACCCGGTAACAGCTGGCCTTTCCCCCATGAATGTGAGAGAGGATTTCACAGAGCACTATGGCCCTGGCCATGGTTTTTCAAATGCTGTTGGCAACTGAATTACCACATCCCCCAAACCTCCCACCCACCCTGTGCCCCAAAGCCAGCATTCGAGAAGTGTCTAGAGAGAGGAGGTGTTGGAAGAAGTTTCACTGGCCGCCAGTCAGAGAGCAGAGATGCCTTCTTGCCAGCGTTACTTGTGAGACTAGATCTTGTTGTTAGGGACACAGAGACTAATTGTCAGGACAGCCAACAGTTCTACAACACGAAGCCTCACCCAGAAAGGGAAGCCTTTGTCTCCACTTATCAGAAGGCCCCAAGTTAATCAGGTCCACTATTGAGGACCTCTAATCAAAACTAGCAAACTTTCCTAGAAGAACAATGCAAGCATGAAAAAACGCCAGCCTGGCCAGAGACTCCATGCTTCTAAGTTTTGGCTAATTTCCTCTGAATTGACGGTGTTACAGAAAGCCCATGCGTCTGCTCACATATGTGGACGTGAAACGGGAGAGAGCAGGTACAAACCAGAATTGGGGGAACAGGCTCTTTTCTCCTTGTTCCAAGCCTTGGATGCCAATGCTGCTCGGAATACAATGGAATTCATGACACTGCTTCTTACTGAGGTGCATGTGCCTCGCTTGGAGAAGGCTCACTGAGCCCCTACTCTGCGCCCCACTCTGTGATGCTAAGATCTGCATGAAAGCACCAGGGGTCTTCTCAACTTTGGTTTACATCATAAGTGGATCTCCAAAAAACAAAGCTCATGTAGTTTTTTTTTTTTTTTTGGTAAATTGAACTGTAACAGAAGCTGTCACAAAGAAGCTCCACTTAAAAAAAAAAGTGTTAAGTGAAGACATTCTTCATATGCATCGGGGGTGTTTTTATTAAAAGGAAATTAAGAATTAGCAACACCAAGTTGTCCTGTTTTAGAAAATAGAGTCAATTACGTTACGGTATAAAAATACAGCCGAGTACTGGACAGCCCCAGGCGGGGGCCAATGGACTTGGACTCTCGGAAAGAGGTCCGTGTTTGGTGAGGTGGCAAGTTGCAGAATAGCATATCTAAGTTTTAATTTTTGTTTTTGAAAAACAGATCTATGCGTGTTTATACACACATAGAAAATACACAGCACGTCGTGGACAGTGGTCACCCTCCAGGGCAAGACATCTGGGGCAACGGGGGGATGGTGGAGATAATAAGAGACTCTTAAATTGTCTATATTTCTGTGCCATTTAAATGCTTGTAACAGGTATGTTCTATATTTATAATAAAAAAGGTACTAATATTAAAATAAGGCAGTGTGGCAGAGTGGAAGGGCATGGCTAGCCGTCAGACCTAGGACCTCCTCATCCTAGATTGGCCACTAACTGTGACCCTGAACCCACCTCCTCCTGCTGCTAAGCCTCGCTTTGTCATCTTATATTAGTGAAGCAGGTTGGACCAGACCATGCCAAGAGTCGAGAGCTATGAATTTCCAAATAAGCTTTCCTTAAGCTGGCCTTTGGAGACCAAGCTTGAGTCCTGGAATTGTGCCTTCCTGCCAGCTGGAACCAGATTTCTTTCTCCCCTGGGAAGAAACAAGCCAGGAAATGTTCTTTCCCGGCTGGTGTGAGGGAGGGAGGGAGCCATCTAACGCTCTGATGAAGAGCTGCATCCATTTACTGACACGTGAGGCCATTCCATAAAAATCCCAGCTTCAATAATTCAGGGCGTCCAAGGGAAGTTCCCATGTAAACACCAGACACAGATGTATCTGGCTGAATGGTCACCTTATAAGATTCCTTCCCTGCTCCCCACTCAGGCCAAACACTTCCTATGTCAACAGGGTCCCCTCGTTGTACCTCAATAGGCTGCCATTTGCCCAGGACAAACACGTGCAGCATGTTCACATCAGGATCCTTCTGGAAGATGTTGGGCTTGGCGTGGTGCTGGAAGTGGCGATGGTTCCACCAGTTGGCGGAGGCACCCTGTGGAGGAAGAAATGGGGGTGAGCAGTGCAGTCTGCCGGGAGGACCTGAGCTCACCTGCGACAGGCCCTGTTCAGGACCTCCAGTTCTTAGCACCTCCAATATTCAAGGCTGACTTCTCCGTTACACACAAGGTGTCAGCCCGCGAAAGAAGGCAGCCCTGCCAGTACTGAGTCCAGACCGCTGCTCAGCCTGTGGCCAGGACTTCTGAGTGGAGTCAAGTCATTCCATCCTTCCGGGCCTGTTTCCCCCAATCGTAAGATGGTGACAGTGGGTGAAGAGTGCCAGCAATGCACTGCGTGGGCTGGTCTCTGCACTCCACCAACACCGGGTGTGGGCCTCCACACCCTCATCCTCTGCACATCTCCTGTGTGTCCGTGTTGTACAAAGAGAAGAGGCTTCAGGGACAGTAAGAAGTGGTCTTGGTGTGTACCCAAGAGGAATGAACATGTGGCCACACAAAACCTTGTACATGAATGTTCCAAGCAGCATTATTCAAAATAACCAAAACGTGAAAACATTCCATCAGTTGATAAATGGATAAGTAAAATGTGGTAGATCCGTACAAGGGAATGCTGTCTGGCCATCCCTTAAAAAGGAATGAAGTATTGACACGTGTTACAACATGGATGGACCTTGAAAACTTCATGCTATGTGAAAGAAGCCAGTCTCAAAGGACCACATGATTGTTATATGATTCTATTTATATGAAGATCTAGAATAGGGAAATCTAGAGACAGAAAGACCAGTGGCTGCCTAGGGGTAAGCTTGGGGGTGGGGTGGGGGGTGAGGTTGTCGAGAGGTGATGGTTAAGAGGCGTGGGGTTTCTTTTGGGATGATGAAGATGTCCCAAAGTTGATTGTGATGATGGTTTCGTAAATCTGAATATATTCATAAGTCATTGGTTTGTACACATTAAATGGGTGAACTGTATAGTATATGAATTATATCTCAATAAAGCTCTTAAACAAACAAGGGCCCAGGGAGTAGTTTGCAAGACACAGCCCAACAGCCAGACACGCTATGCACTAAGGGATAAGAACAGTCACATCATGCCTAGAAGGCATAGGCAGGACTGAATAAACAGTCGCTAAGCGCAGGTAGGAGCTTCCTGGTTCTAACATGCAAGTGTTATGACGCTAGGCAACCAGATGCACTACATGAGCTATTTATTTTCAGGGCACTAATTTCTGTCTCACCAGAAATTACATTTTGAGGGCACGTCCCTCCACAAAGTTCCCCCATGATGCACAGAGACAAACAAGAATCTCCTGGCTCTTGAGAATCAAGACTTCACTGGTGAGTGGTCGATGGGTCAGTCAATGCTTTGGCCACGGGTCTGGCCACCTACAAAAAAGCTTAACTGCTAAAACAAATATTGGACTTGGAACGTGCTTTTGGCACTAACACGTTCTCTGGTCACCAAGAGCCATGGGCAGGAATAGCTGTGAGCAGCTGTGACCTTCAGTGCTGACTTCAGGCCCAGGAAGCAGGTGGGCCTCAAAACCATCAAAGCAAAACGAAGTGTCAAGAGTGAGTTTAGAGGATTAAGGAATCAGATGACGCATAAGCCTTTCTAGCCAAAAGGAGCCAAATTCCTGGGAAGAATGAAATAGAAGTGTCTCTGACACAAAGAAATTAAGGGGCGAGGCACGTTATGAGTAAGCATGATGTTCTGAATACACCAATCAAGCGATGTCTGTTGAAAGAATAACTGGAGAAAAGGAAGATGGGCTGCAAACACCACAAGAATGAGAGTCAATGAGGTGAAGCCGTCCCCGTACTCGGATGGGATGTGAGGACAAACCATTTTTTTTTTTAAAGATTTTTTTTT